CGCAGTCTCTCATTGTAGGGTCTGCCCTGATGTTCCCAGATCATGCGGGTGGCCCTCCTCTGGACCCTCTCAATGTTGTCCACATCCCTCCTGAAGTGGGGCGCACAGAACTGGACACAGTACTCCAGCTGTGGCCTGACCAGTGTCGCATAGATGGGGAGGATCACCTCCTTGGCCCTACTTGAGATGCACCTGTGGATGCACGACAAGGTCCGGTTAGCCCTGCCAACCATGACCTTGCATTGTCGGCCCATGTTCATCTTGGAGCCAATAATGACTCCAAGATCCCTTTCTGCCTCCGTGCTCTCAAGAAGGGAGTTTTCCATCTTATAAGTGTGCTGCTGGTTACTACTGCCCAAGTGCAGCACCCTGCACTTGTCAGTATTGAAACGCATCCTGTTTTTGTTAGCCCACCCCTGTAACCTATCCAGGTCTTGCTGCAATCTTTCCCTACCTACTAGCGTGCTCACCTCACCCCAAATTTTGGTATCAACAGCGAATTTAAACGGGGTGCTTTTCACCCCATCATCCAAATTGCTGATAAAGAGATTGAACAGCATGGGCCCAAGGACCGAGCCCTGGGGGACTCCGCTGCCCACTTCTCCCCAGGTCGAATATGACCCGTCCATCACCACCTTCTGAGTGCGACCCTTCATCCAATCTGCAGTCCATCTGAAGGTGTAGGCATCAATGCCACAGCCGCCTAGTTTTTTAATGAGGATGGGGTGGGAGACTGTGTCAAAGGCCTTGCTGAAGTCCAGAAAGACTACATCCACGGCGACACCTGCATCCGTTGCCTTTGTGACCTGGGGATTTTGCATGGAATGGGCTTTGAAATCTAACCTTGTCTGCTGTACAGTTCTGATCATCTGCCAAGTCATCACTTGTTTAGACTGTTGATGGAGACCTTTTGTGGGCACAGATTTGCCAGTGATGCAGAGGTACAACTCACAGTGCAGGAATGGCTGTCATAGCAACCAAAAAGCTTCTTTGAGGATGGTATCAAGAAATCTGTGACTCACTGGAATACCTGTGTTGAAAAGCAGCTGATTATCTGGAGAAGTAATGTGATCTAGTAAATGATCATTGCACACAAAATAGTTGTCTTTTGAGATTGCTATTAGTTTCTGAAACACCCTGGTATAAGACCACATTGTTCATGGCTACTGATAAAATTTAAATACATTAGTTTTCAATATGGAACTCAAAATAATTAGGTACAGTGGAACCTCATAATTCTGGCATGCTTGGGACTCGGCACTTAGTGGAAATTGGAAAATGCCAGATTTTTGAAACCAGTGTGGCGGCTGGTCGCAAAGCAGGTGCGGGCTAGCCCTGGAGCAGTGGCTGCACGTGGAGCAGCGGCACAGGGTGGTGAATGGTGGCAGCAGCTGCTGCATGCAAGCTTCCCCCTTCAGCATCCAGGAGGGCAGGGGGGAGTGGCAGCCGGTCCTGGAATGGCAGGGGAAATTCCGGATTTTCTATAATTCTGGACTCTTAGCATCCAGATTTATGAGGTTATACTGTACTGAAAATGCATTAGAGGCAATAGAAACAATCTGGTTGCAATCTGGTTTAGCGTCTAATAAAGTGATTGTTACATTTGAAGGCTCTGTTGCTCTTATGCATCTCTGATTCAGTTGGTTGATACTGGTAGTCTATAACGTGCACCTCTACCCTGCCTTTTCAGCTGATTACCTGTTTTCTAGCTGTAATCAATTATAGGCCACTTTAAATCTGTGATAGTATAATGGAGACAGAACGCCTGAGATTGACAAGTCTTCCCATTCTAGATTTCTTATACAAAGGCAAAAGCCATAGTTTATCAAGTAACAAATTCAACATTGAAAGAGGTCATTTTCCTTTAACATTTATATGAAGACCAATATTTATCTTCTATCAACAGTGATAGAAAATAAATATTGGTCTTCACATATATGTTGGACCCCCTTAACCCAGGTCAGTGTCCACAGAGCTGTCTTGTTCTTTTCTTTTTTCCTTTCAGTCTCCAGCAGCTTCTTTACATTTCATAATCAGTGTTAAATTTTAGAGTTACTTCATCTTTATATGTAATGTATTCACCCCTTCCTTTTCCTCAGCATTTTGCATAATACAAGGCTCACTACACATTTCTCTTTTTAGATTTCAAATTAATTCCAAATATATTCTTACCTGTTAGCTCACAGAACTTGCATTTCCTTCAGCATCAAGCAAGTTTCTCAAATGTGATTTGGAGGCAAATTTCAGTAACTTCCAGATTTCTAAGTAAGCAAATTTTTTTTTTTCTTCCACAAGATCTCATCATGTAGGTGTTTGAATTGTGTAACTGAAAAGAATGAAGTGGCAAGGGACTCTTTGTACCCTTCTAAGATTAAGGCCACTCATTTTATTCTGTTATCATATTATTTCTGCTTAACACGTTTTTCATGTACAATTTAGAATCAGCAAAGTACAAAAGAAGAAAAAGATGCTACGAGAGCAACCCTGAATGACCTTCAGTTGCAACTTGATGAAAATATTCAAGAAAAAGATGCCTTAAGAAAGCGACTAAAGGAAAGTGAGGTGGAGCTCCGGGACAACCTAGAAGAGTGAGTTTCTTGTAGAAAGTCTGTCTTTGTTGGAATTTCTTTGTTTTTTTAAAGGTTGTAGAATATATTTAATCTGTACCTGGTTTGGTATTTAGAAGGCAGTAAAGTTAATGTAGTCCTAAGCACCATATCAAGCTTCTGTTATTATCTGAAGTGTTTAAACTACCACCTCAAACCTGAACATATGAGATACTTGAGGTGAAACTAAGGCCACAAAGAGGTGTTACATTTCTACCAGGGGAATTGTTACTCTCCTGATAGAAAACACAAGTGTAGAGGTGTTCATCAAGTTTCTCCCACAGGTGAAATGCCTCCTGTGGAAGAAGTATCTGCCTCTTTCAACAGTGAGGATATCTCCTGGGGGAGAACAAACACTCATGCCCTTACCTTCCACTGGGGACTGGGAGGAGTTGGACAGCAGGCAAATGCTTCCTGCTCCTTCTTGAGACAGGTGACTCTGGCTGCTGTTCACATCTTCCCAGTCTGGGAGTTGTCAAGCTGTGGGGAAAGGCTTCCTTGTGCCTTCCCCAGAGTGGGATCACCCTGGTCTGGAGAAGTCACAGGGGGCAGCTGCTGCTCACTTCCTTCAGTAGACCAGGAGGGGAGAGGAGGAGGGTTGCTGATACTTCCTATCCACTCTCCAGACTGGTATCTTATTGCTCCCTTTCTCTTCCCCAAACTGGGGACCACCTAATTAGGGGAATAGGCTGGGGCTTTTGCCCTGCTGCTCCTGCTGCTCTGCCCCCAGAGATTAGGAGTGGAGTGCAGAATGCAAAAAACTGCTCCCTGCCTGTTCCCCAGACTCTGGTCTGGAGGAGGTGTGGGGAGTTTCCCCACTACTCCACTCCTTGACGACTGGCAGGAGTGAAACAGCCACTGCTTCCCACACATTCCCAATGTCGGGATCACCGTAGTCTGGTGAAGTCGTGGAGAGCAGGGGAGAGGGAGCAGCTTTAGGCTGAATGCCTATATGTTGCACCTCCCAGAAAAAATTTTAGTGGTGGATATTTGTCAGGGAATTTCACTGCTAGAAATGAATGTTTGTGTCCTAGGACTTCTAGTTTTGTAGCAGTGTTGGGCTGATTTTTGTAGCCACAATGATCCAGGAAAATACGCAAGAGGCAAGGATTTTTTGGGTGATTATCTTTTATTGAACCAACTCCAAAGTGGGAAGGGATACAGACAAGCTTTTGAGTATGAAGCATCCTTTCTCATGTCTCAGGTGCAGGTACTTCATAACCTAAAGCTTGTCTGTATCCCTCCCAACTATTCAGTTGGTCCAATAAAAGATATCACCCACAAAAATCCTTGCTTCTTCTTAACTTTAATGTTTGTCTTAATGTGAGTTGTATTTAATAGTACGTGGTCACATTTGTATGTGTGGCTTTTCAAAATACAGATGTTCATGGCTTCTTTAGGCAAAAACATCCTCAGTGAAACATGTTTGGTCTAAAATGAGCTTAGTATTCTACGTAGGTGTGTTTGTTCCATTTCTACAATCTTTTCCTTTCTTAAGAAGAAGACTTGATACCTTCAAGTCAGCCGGCCCTCAATCTACACCTCAGGGTACTCAAGGAGCTGGCAAGCATCATAGCCCAGCCCCTGGCACGGATCTTTTGAGAACTTCTGGCGCTCTGGTGTAGTGCCTGAAGACTGGAAGAAGGCCAGTGTCTTGCCCATCTTCAAGAAAGGGAGGAAAGTGGATCCGGCAAACTACAGGCCCATCAGCCTGACTTCTATCCTGGGGAAGATCTTAGAAAAAATTAATAAAGAGGCCATCCTCAATGGACTGGCTGATGACAACATTCTGAGGGATAGCCAGTACGGGTTTGTTGCAGGGAGGTCTTGCTTGACCAATCTCATTTC